CAGCAGCTCTATGGGAGTGTGGTGACTTCAATGAAACTTGATGAATTTATAAATCGTTCTGAACTTCTCATTTTGCTTCTGCACTGCTGTCAGTCTATATTAAGAACTGCAGCTTTATATGATATAAACTTTGATTAGACTTTGATTAAACTTTGATAGAGACTTTGATTAATAGTACTGTATGGAGAAGCCAGAACAAACCCCCCAGGGGCTGATGAAGAAGAAAATGTCAAGTGCTGACTAGCCAGCATAATATGCAGTAAACAGGAATGAGAAGCTAATCTATAATTTAAACAATGTGTTAATTAATACAGCATAAATAATGAAGTCTGTGGTAAAATCCAGGGAGCAATCTTGTCTATCTGCTCATCTTGGAGCAGCTAGAACACCATGCCCTTGAGTAAGAGGACAGTAACTGTATGCTAACAGAAAGGAGTCTCTTTCCAATCAGATGATCAGCAGGATTTTTTGCTTGCTTACTAATTTGAAGATGGGAAGTCTTTCTAAAATCAAACGGCATAGTGGGAAAATCAAAGGAAGTAAAAGAGGAATGCCAAGGGATGACTGCCAGTCTGCATGCATGATTCCAAAACGAGGTGCCACAGAAAGGGACAGCCCTGACCTTCCCTACCCACCCTGATGCCATGTCCCCTAGTCCCTACCAGTCGTGTGACACCTCCCTGCCCCAGGGAGTCCAACCAGATCCTGCTGAGACTCAACCAAGTTAGCAACGGGGAAAATAAAAGTGTCCGAGGGACCCAGCGTACAGCCATGGCAATGCCAGTGATGCGATGGGAACATGCAGCTTGGGTGAGGTGCTGGCAGGACTTGCCATGATTAAATCAAAGATTTTCAGGGGCAGCCTTCAGGTAGGTTGGCTTCAAGTCATTGCGGAATAACGCCCCTGAGCCAATTTGCCAGTCCAGGTCTGTCTGTCATTTTGTCAGTCCTCAGACCTGTTGAGCCAGCAGAGCAAATGTGGTAAGATGTGGCCATTATGCTGGATGTCCAGAGACCCAACCAAGGAAGAGTCTCATAGCCTTTAGACTGATCTTACTGTGTCAGCAAATCTGCCTAATACTTAGTCTATGGCAGTTTATTGTGGAAGTGTTTGTTTTTATAGCAAAGACTGTGAAACTACTTGCTTATTTGCTAAATAGCTTGGAGGGTGGAGGCATTTTTAAGGGAATTACTTGCAGCCTTCTGAATTTATTGGGGTAATCCAATAATCCAAACACTTTCAACTCTGGTATTTTGGTTCCCTGTGACTTGGAGACAGATCCAGTGCAGGACCTGGTTGCCCAGCCCTGGGAGCAGAACTGAAAACACAGGGTGAAGGGCCCAGGTCCAGGCGGTTGGTGTACGTAGACTGGCACTGAGATCAGCTAGCCCATCCTGGCCTTGAGACTACTGCTGTTAGACTGTTTCTGGTGGGTGAACTAGCTCACCTGCAGATGGTTCAGACACTTCTGTCCGCATATATGCCCTTATGCAAACAGATGTATGCAGGATGAACATCAGTTGTTTCAGTGGACTTTCTGCCATTGCTACCCCCACATGCAGAGCTGCCTCATTTCTCATACAGTTCCCACCTAGAATAGGACTGGTGAAGCTACTGACTCCCACCATGAAGCTGCTTAGGACATGACTTTCCTACAGAGTAACTAAGGGAGAGAAAAAAATTTAAAAAAAGGCAAAAAAAAAGAAAAAAGCAATGCAGTTTGGAGGTGCTGCTGGCTCAGCAGAGAAGTTGCTGCAAGAACGCTGCGCTCAGAGCACATAAAGAGAAAGGAAGGGAAACAGGCTCCCATGAGGAAAAGACTGAGGAACTACTTATTTTTGAGGCACATCTGTCTTCTAAAGAGTAGATATTTCTTCAAACTCAAAGGAACCACCAGAGTGGAAAAGGTAGAGGTAATAGGGGGGTTAGCACAGCTCCAGCTTAGTCCAGCATCATACCGAAGTTGTTTGTTTTCTTGAGGAATTAGCGTTGAGAAATCATCAGCTTCCCCCATAAGCTGTTTAATTTCTTCCACTCTGGGATGGACCTGGCTGCTGGTTGTAGGCAGAATAAGAAAGATCATTGCCTCTAATTGTGCCAGTTTTGATTAAATCTTAAAGAAGAATCAGATTTTTAGATAATAATTTAGATACTGTTTTATCAATACTCCGATTTCTCTGGGTGCCAACGCAGAAGAGAGATGCCAGTCCATAGTGACGGTTTATGCACAAGCAATGTTCTGCTGCAGCAGTCACGGTACAGTGGTACACAATCCTTGCTAGAATTTTACACTGCAGTTTTTAAATTCATGTTTGGGGAGCCCAGGCAAGTGCTAAAGGATCCTTGTGGTACATCCTCTGGGCTTTTGAAGTGGTCCTCACTGCAGTGTATGGAAAACTGAGAGAGAAGGTTTTGCACACATTGCGCAATATTTTTCTTCCTAGACATGTATGTGCATGCCTGTATGTATTTCTTACCTTGATTAGCAGGGCTTAAGGACTGAAATAAGAAATAATTCACACTTAGCCAACACCCGTTATAAAACGGGGAATCTTCAGTCACACTGACAGCATTCTCCTGTTGGGAATGATGCTATTTTGGTGCATTTAGAATGGAAAATACACAATTTCATAAATAAAATATTTAACATTTTTTCTTGTGGTCATTAATGGCTTGATAATAGAAATACCCTGCTTATAGACCAAGACATTTCCAGTATCATTCATTTCCCATGCCAAATTTGTGGTTTGTGATGGAAGTATACTTTAAAGAACATGAACCAGAGATGGCACTTATTAATTGTCATGATAACTTTGTCCTGCGGGACAGAGAACTAAAAGAACAATAATAAAAACCAAGTAGCATTCTCTAAACACGAAAATCAATCCAATACTCTGTTTATTGATCCATGTTAGAAATCTCTGAAACAGGCTTAGTGAGTGGACAGCTAGCTGAAGCATATACCTTATGGCTAGGCCTTTTAAAACACTCAGTTGCAGCATGATAACACTGAGAGCAACTATGCTGTCCTTACGCAGCCTCACAGCAAATCTACCATCCTATAGTGCAACGCATTATCCTTAACATTTTTCCAAAAAAGGAGAGAGAACAGAAAAAGGATTTTCACAGCTGGCAATGTACTAAAACATATTAACTTTCATCAGGGGAATATAATGGTACTACTGTTTAAGAAAATGCTACAACCTTGTTTAATTTTCTTAGTTTTTTTTAAATGGAGCCTTTCCTCCTTGGAAGATGGGAGAAAATGGGGGAAGAGAGGATAAGTAAATATTTTCAGCTTTCTCAGCTGTAATCCATAATTATAGTTTTATTCCTTTCTGGGTTCTGATACCTAGATTTCACAGAGCTGATTGCAGGCTTCAGGAACCATTTTTGCCTTTTAAATTGAAGCATTTCAGGTTTTCTCTAATTAACAACCACTTGCAGGGTACATCACAGGCTTAGTGCCTACTCACCAGCCACATTTCTCGTAGACAGATCTGTTATTGCACAAAAATGAGGGCAAGAGGCCTTCTGTATTAATAGTTTATGAAGATAGCTAAATTACAGCTGACCATAAAGTATTCTGGCTATGTTCTTCTCCTAAACATCTCTCTGGAGTCTCTTTTTCTTGGGGGACAAAGCTTCTGAAAGTGATAATACCTTCTCCTGAATGATAATAGTTTGGATTGGCTGATGCCGGGCAGCATCCTTTTGAGAAATAGCTGCAGGAAGTGCTTAGGCAACCTTCTTTGTACAGAGCACCAAGTAATTAAAACAGAAACTTTGGCTTTCTTTTCCCCTTAAGGTGACAGAGTTTCAGATCTAAAGAAACAAAACCAAAAACCACAGGAAGCAGGACAGCTGTTATTAGATGTCAGTTCAAAGGGGAGGTAAATGAAAAGCCTCTGATTTATCCAGAGGAAACTGCCCAGGATCAAGGTCTTCACACAGCTACTCACTTTGTTCCCAGTCCTTTTTCACCTGATCAGTCTCACTGCAAGTTACTCATAATAAGCTAACTAGACCCAGAGCTTCTTGGAGCAAGGTGCTGTCATAGTTTTGTCTTGTACAGTGGCAAGCACATGAGTTGTTTCTTAAAAACAAATGGCAAACCCACTGCATTTCCTTCCTCCCTCTGTCCCTTTGCTCCTCCTCCTCTCCTCTCTGCCTCATGACATTTGTGTCACCTTCTGGATCCCAAGTTCTCATTCATCTCATTCCTTTGCCAATAATTTCTGCCCAGGTGCAGCCGTAAGGCAAAACAGTGGCGCAATACGGAAGGAAAATTGTCAGGTAACCAAAAGTAGCATCAAAAAAGCAGTAGAGAAGGTGATATTCTTATATCTGTATTGCTGACTGACAACCCCTATGGCAGGACTTATGCATGCATTTACCATTTAAAGAAGAAATCATGCTTGGTGAAAGCATCAACCTTAGAAGGAAACCCAGAGCTTGAAGGAATGAATATTGTTGTAATGCTCAGGAGCTGACTTGTATTATTTCAAATAAACATGGCTGAGAACTGATGGACATGTATTCCATAGACACTGGCATTTTCTTCACAGAATAGCTGTTTTCTGCTGTGTTGTCTTCTGTTTTGCATAATACCGTATGAACCTCATTACTGCAGTTTGGAGGGGTTTGAACATTCACAGAAAGAAGCACAGGGATAAGAGCAATAGTTTGATTGATGCAATTTTCACATTGGCCCACTGGATAAACAGAAGAGCTCTTCTATTACAAGGACATGCAGAAAGCAAAACATTATCAATCCTACCCACACCCCAGGGCCAATAAGAAAGGCTAAAAGACCTCCAACAACACAGGCTTTCTTGACAGTCATTGTTAACCGCTTAATAGCAGCTAGCAGGCAAGATCTGCTCTTATGCCAGAAGTACAAGGCGCACAGCAGTTTGAAAGAAGGATAAATATGTATGTATAGAAATTACATCTTCCTAAAATCATAAAAAAAAAAATAGATTAAATGAACCCCTACCTTGGAGAGCCTGGAGTGTACGAGTCTGTACAACAATACAGAGTTGCAGGACCAGCTGTGGTGCACTTTCCAGAAACGTGGCTAGCAAATGCAGCATACTCACATCTGCATACTCATACACCATTTTCCAATAAAACCGCCATCTGTCATTCTCTCCACTCCGTCGACTCCGGATACCCAGGTATATTGTGTGGAAATACCTAGAAATAAAAGACAGAGGTTATAGAAATGCAGAATGATATTTTGCAGGTAACACTTCTGCTTGAAAATAACCACCATTTTTTCAGTGTACTTCAAAATAACCACTATTTATTTAAAAGGGTTATCGTATTGCAATTTATAGTAGTTGATGTGATAAGAGTGAACTAAACTGAAGACAAGACTTGCCCTCATAAAACCATTTAAAAAGCTTAGCATTGTCTTATTTCTTAAATTGTATTCCTTTCAAGGACCCAGTCTTCTGAACTGAAATATAAGGGGGATGTATTGATTGTGTGGCCTCCCTCAGAGTTTTTTCAAATAATGTGGGGAAAAAAGGTGATTCTGCAATGGTGTCTACTCGGGACCTGCAAAGAACTGATCTTTCTGCATGGCTCTGTGTGGACTTGGAAGACCACCTGCACTGCAAGCCTGGGGTGGTCTTAGCCTGGGGCCCTGCTATGGCTGAACTCATAGTCCATCTTTTCCACCTGTCTAATGCATTGAATCTCATATTTCAGATACTGCCAAACATATAGTGCTTTTTCTCATAGTTTGATTATTTTAGGAGGAGAGAAGATGTAGCTGTGAGCTCCTATTTTAGGAGGAGCAGAGATCTGGCTGTGGGTTCCCTTGGTGATTAGAAGTGACTCACTACGATAGCTCCCGTGCAGCAGCAGCAGCAAGAAGCAGCAGGAGCCAGGAGCCCAACAGGCTGCTGCTGCTGCTGGCAGCAGTAACCAGCAGATGAGAGAAGTAATGGTCAGAAAGCACGTCAGCTCTGGTGGCCTGTGCAAGCGGGAGGAAAAACACCCGGCGACCAGCCAGTTAAAGAGATTTCAGTGGGTGCAGGAGCAACGAGTGGTTTTAGAAAGCAAGGGATGTGTTCTGATGGCCAAGCCACCTGGCTGCTGTGATGCTTTTCATGACCCTTGCAGAGCTGGCAGCGGTCTCCCATGACACACTTGTGTCACAGCACACCGACCACTCTGGGTGGCCTTTGATCTGCTCTATTATTCTAATCTCCTCTTTGTTATTCTGTGTCAGAAAGTCTAGGCTCCCACCTTGCTCCTACAATTTTAGTTCAAAACGAATTAAGGCTGGCTGAAAAAACAGTCTCACTTAACGAAAAATTCTGAAGATACTGTCTTGCATCCTACCAGGGTGCCCTGATGGGCTACTGAGTGATGTGGATCTCTGGTTCTCTTTTTCTTGACGTATCTTTCACATCCTGGTCCTGAAAGCATTTCCTTATGATCTTTTAATATGTTTTCACAGCACTTTTTTTGAAATGAGATTATATTTTCGAGTAAGAGAAATTTTAGTAAATTTTAACCACTTCCCATATGAATTGTTTTAATTGGTTAAGATAAAACATTTTGGTATTTCTCCTCCTTTTCACAAGTTCTTGTTTTAAAATGCTTTTCATAACTGGTGGAGCATGGTGAATTGTCGAACCTCTTTTTATATAGGCTGCATGCAACCTTTCCTCCCTCTTCTGTTCAGTTGTAACTCTGAAGGTATCTCCTGCTGATGAGAAGATTTTTGGCCTATGACTGGCAAACAGCCCAAGAATCAGTTGCCCCCTTGAAGAATGACTGCTGTGCTTGTATCCAGTGAACCCTTGTACCCAATGCACACGCCACTGCAGAGCAACAGTTTTACTCAGGAATATTCATCAAACAAAACCAGGGAGTAGCACAGAGAAACAGCTGAGAGGCCAGTTCTGAGCCTGCAGCATTTCTCTTGACAATGCACATCATAGCAATATAAAAGGAAAACACATTAAATTCACATTTAAATTAAAATCACACCAGGTGGCTTTGAATTTTATCAAAGTCCCATGTGGGAGTGAAGCAGCAATGAACTACTCAGAGACTGAGACCACAGAGGTACAGTAAACGAGACATCGACCCCACCTCTCGTGCAAAACACTGAGCAGGTCTAGATGGGTCAGAGTATGATGGGGTAACAGGGGCTCTCCGGCGTCCTCAGGGTTACGTAAAGTGAAATTGCCCACTGTCCAGATCTGAAAGAAGCCACCCAGCTGGAAAGGCATCTTTTGTTGTGCAGTTCTGCTAATGGGTCTGTTGGACCCCCAGGTTCTCAGTCACAATCAGTTTAATTGTTCCTAGATCTCTCATTAGTGTCCTGCAGCACAACAGGGACAGGTAGGGCTTGGATTTCCTTCTGCAGTTTGGTTTTTGGGTGGGGTTTGTTCAGCCTGCCTCACGTGGCCTCCCAAGGGGCACACCTGGGAATATTGTACATGGGGGAGGGCAGACAGCATCTTCAGCATCCTTCTTTTGAGATATCACTAACCCTTGCTATAAATACCTAAAGTAGCTTTGGCTGCTGAGGGTTGTGCCAGGAGGCTCTAGCTCTGCCAGTGGAGCCATCTGCAACTTCAGTTCTACAGCGTTTGTGCAAAAAATACTTTTCCTATTATGAAAATGACATGCTGTGCCAGGCAACGTCCCCTAGGGTTCTTTACCTGCTCTGCAGAGTGGTTGTGCATGGCAAATATGTTGTGATTAATGAACCCTTATGGAAATATTTCCTCTCCCATTGCACTTTATTGTGAAACACTGGCAGTGAGTTATTGGGGACTGGGGAATCATTGCTCTTTGTCTACTTAGCTCTGCAATTTAGACACGAGAGGCAGAGGAGGAAGATACTTTCTCTTTTCACACACTGGGGACCAAATTTCAGCCTAGGGTGGTATTTTTTTCTGTCCTATCAATTTTGGCCAAATTAATTGCAGGCTGAAATGAGCATTTACACACATAATTACTGTCACTGATTTATAGGCACAATCAGGTGATTAGACAGCTAAAAATTCTCATTTGCATCCACAATTAATTGCACCAGCAATTGATGTTAGGTGTGCAAATTAGCAGTTATTAAAATAAAAAGATGGTCTCATAAAATGCTTCATATATCAAAGGCACTTTTTTCCCCTAGTGAAATAGAAAGAAAAAAAATTGGGAGAAAGTGCTTATTTTGTTTTGATTTCCAAATATAGCTTAACACTGCAGTAATGACACATTCCATTTTTTTTATATATATATATATATATGCATTATGTAATTGCATCTTAGACACCCTCACTGGAGTCCTATTGTCAGCAAATGCTATACAGACACACTCAGAGGTAGTTCCTGCCCTGAAGAGTTTTTATATGTTGGCCTTCTGGTATCATTTTCATGGAAACTCATATTTTTCTATGAGTCCAGGTTGTGGCTCTTACACACAGTTATTCCAGAACAATATAGGAAGAAGTAATAACAGCTCTGCATTGGAAAATATCTTAGGTTCATTGTAGGGTAAACTGATGCCAATGAACCTGAAAGAACAGATGTGAATGTTATTATTTTGGTTGTGATTGCATCCAGAGGCCTCAGCTAAAGTCTTGTGCAGGTGCTGTACAAATATACAAAACTTGCCTATCCATTTCTCCAAAGAGCATTTAATTGACATGAAAAGAAATGACAAGGAGTGAAGAAGTGAGAGTTAGAGCACCAGAGGAAAAAAGGAAAAAAAGGAGGAATGAGAATTATGGTAACAATACTGCCATCTAGTAAAGTAACTACTTCATCTAATAAGTCAAGATAGTCCACTGAAGTTTCTGATTTCACTAGAAAAGTGAAAAACAAATAAAAAACTCCACCACCCCTAAACAATCCATAATTTCATAGCTCTCACGTTTGTGGAGAAAAGCTTAGAAGTAACTTAGTTTCCTAAAGGTTTTACAGTTAGAAGACTATAAAATGTACTATGAAAAAGCAATATCAAACCTTATTATTTTAAAATGAAGCCAGACCACTGCTTGGACTGTCAACACTGATATAAACAAGCTTACTATTCAGAATGAAGACAATGGAGTAGGAAGCAATACTTCCTATACTGCTGATAATCAGATGGCAACATACATATTGTTATTTGAGACCTAATGTCTTTTTTACCCTCTGGAGGAAGTGTAGAATGCTTCAGCATTTAATTGTTTTAATTTATTTCAGTACATCACACAGCACAGTATACAGACCATTGATAAAACATAACCCTGAAGGATAGAACCTGAAACAAGATCGCAAGTGACATTCTTTTTCCATTGCAGTAATGAGGGAAGGCAGTAAAGTAAAAAACAAACAGAAAGCAGGTTAGTCTGTGTGCTGCCCACAAGAAGTGTTCAAGATGCAAGACAAATAGAAGCAAAAAAATTACCTATACTTGTAGTTGTGGAAAAGCTGCATTTCTGTTCTAGGGAAAGAGACATTCATTCTGATCAGACAGTGGCTCCCCAGTGTTTCCAAAATCAAGAGTCCTGATTTTGTTCCAGGGTTACATACCACTCTTGAGGATGGTCAGCATAGACTGAGATACCTATATTTGAAATACTTTTGGTGACACTTCAATTACGTGATTAAAGCATGCCCAATTGTGCATTTAATTGAGATGTGGTAGTGTAATTATATGATAATACCAAATATTTATAGAGAGTGCTTTCTGAGTTTAAAGTGCTTTACAAACATTAATTGATTAACTGGGATGAATGTAAATAATCTCACAGGGTTCATTCCCTAGGAACTGGCAGCTGACCAACCTAATACCTTCCTACAGGAGTAGGTACTCAGCAGACTCAAATCCAGGTGAGATTTCATAAGCCCATGATGGGGATGAGTTGCCCTTTTCTTGTGTGCAGAAAAATCTCACTCCTTTCTCCCTCATTCTTAGGAACGTGATATTCTGTCCTGAATTTGTGGATAAAAAACCTTCTCCCCAGCTCTTGCTCCAGTACAAGGTAGGCAACGAGGCCCCCAGAATACTTTCCAAACGGGAGGCAATTCCTCAGAGTCAGATATTCTGGAAGAGAGAGTTGAGATGCCACTGGCTTTCGGGCTAAAGGTTTCCAACATGACTACAGTTCATCTACTCTTTTATAAAAGGCCTTTCATGAATATCCTGGTATCACTGAAACTGAAGGGGCTTTTGGCAGTG